TTAGAGTTATTAACTCGTTTCTTACCTCATTTATCTCATGTTTTAATTTAGAGATTGAGGGTTCTCTATCAACCTGGGTTTTGTTTTGCACTCTCCTAAGGATATCATGAAAACTATAATCTTCTTTTGTCGGAACAAGAGAAGATCTTGCCTTTTCAGATGAAGTTTTGGACATGTTGATATATTGAACTAAGGCTTCCCTTTTAGCCTCTGGTTCTGTTATTTTGTCGATAAGATCTATAATCAGATCTTCTTCTTTTGTAAGAGTGTTGATACTTAATCCATTCATATCAATGACTGCCTTGTAAAAATTACATTGGCAATTTTCTTCTTTTGGATTATTTTCATCATCAGAGTTTGAATCAGAACTACTAATGATGATATCTTCATCATCATTGATTTTTTCAATTAACATTTCATTTTTTGAATCAGAAGAATCAGAAGTTTATTCTTTTATTTGGAGTATCTCAAATAATTGGGTTTTAAGACTATTATCTATTTCTAAAGAGTTAATTTTTTTTAACTCAACATTTATTTTTGTAATGGCCTACTTTGCCACAATTATAACAAACATGAATTTTTCTTTTTCCTTTACTTTTAAAGGATGGTTTGTCTTGTAAAAATTTCCTGGAAAATTTTTCTCTTTTCTTTGAAGATTGTTTAAAGTTTTTCTTTCTGAAATTTTTATGCTTTTCTTTACGAAAGGGTTTTGAAAGGGGTGGGGTATTATAAGCAAACTGTTCACAGAAATCTCATAACTCCTTTCTCCTCGTTATTCTCTATTTTTCCAATTGCCTTCGAAGCTTTAAGTTTGTACATAATGCTAGACCTTCAGCACAGATTTCGGCTGATAGTTCTCCTAGGGCATACAGAGAATAAAAAATAATTCCACCATGCTTATTTTTAAGCCTTCTTTTCACCTTTTCTGCAAAAAGGTGTGGTAGTCCAGCTACAAACTTTTCTTTCCATTGGTTAGATTTACTATCTTCTCTTGATAGTAATCTTGAGAAAAATACATCTTTATACCATTTATAATGAGAGAGTGTAGGACATCTTAGATTTGATAACAAATCTTCAGATCTTGCTGTCAACAAAGTAGTGCTTCCTACAAAATGGAGGGTGATTGTATATATTAGTGTATTGATTGCATTTCCTTCTTTAATTATATTGTCTTGGCTAGTTTCATTCTTGACTAGCCATTGTTTTGAGGCATTCAATATTTGATTTTTTGATACTTCATCCATATGAAAATCCCACCAACCTCTTAACCATCCTGTAAATCCACATATTATGGCCTTGGCCATCTCATGGTCTTGATTTCCACTCGCCTTGCAGGCAGTGACATACCTAGTCATGTGTTTCATAAGATCTAAGATTTGATTTTCAGCCATGCCGTCTATATTCCAGTTTGCTATGGATTTCTCTGAATAGGAGACCGAGGTAGAAATTAGGTCTTCTTTTATTTGAAGATCTACGAGGATTGGTCTAGGATAGTACATTTTGGTTTGAGATACTGGTCTAATTTTTCTTCCATAATCAATTCTATTAACTTCTAAGCTTTCTGTTTTAAAAGCTTTCTCTATATCAGAAATTTCTTGGTCAGGTTCCTTTTGTAGGACTTGAACATCTCCTTCTTTGGCTTTAGAAGATTGACCTTTCTCCCTTTCATTGATTTTTAATTTTTCCAATCTTTTAACCAATTCATCGACTAATTCCCTATTGTCTTCTTTTTTCTTTATTCTTTGTAAGCTAAACTTTCCTATCTCAATAGTTGGAGGAGGTTTAAACAGAACAACCTCTTTTTGCTTACCAATTTTTTTATCTTCTGCAGTTGGTCTTAAATTATTGACTGCATTTTTTATTCTTGTAGCATGCTTTCCTATTATTTGGAGGAAAACATTTGTATAATTATTTTGTTCAATAATATGTGGTATTCCTTCAAGCTTGGCCATATTATGGTCAGCTTCTTTAGGTCCTATTTTAAAGGGTGAGGCTTTAACTTCAATTTTCTCCCCGAACTTTCTCCCTTAAGTTGTATGCTAGTCTCAGGGGGATGAATGGACTCAATTGTCTCTCCTTTCGTGGTTTGAAAAGTTTGAAAAGATTTTTCAACTGTATATATTTCAAATTTTGGAATTTTTATTTCATTGTCTGTAGCTATGTATTTTAACCATTTAAAGAATTTGACATTTGCCTTATGTTTTATCAGGAACCTGTTAAATTTTAAATGGAAGGCATCCCAAAGAGGTTCTTTAATCTCTTTGAAGAACCATTCTCTTATTTGTCTATTTTCTTCAGAGAAGAAATCCTTTTTGATCCATTCTTTATCAATTTTAAATTCTTCTTCCTTCTGTACCACACATATATCAAAATCAAGATCAGAATGTGTCGGTTCTCCTAATTCAAAAGATTATGGAATGTCTACTCTGTAGACTGGTTGTTGAACTTGGTTTGGAGTTCTATTGAGTCTTTCAATAATAGTTCTCCTATGAGTGGGTATTCTTTCATATTCAGATTGTGGAACTGAAGAGGTTGACTTCTAGGAGGATCTTTAATATTTGAATTATCAATCCTTAGTGTAGTCCTTCTTGAAGATGGAAAACGGATTTCTATTTCTCCGTCAATGTATTCTATTTATTTTCAAGAACTTTAATCTGAGTTTCAGATTGTAAAACCCAACACTCTGGTTGTCTTACCTGAGACTATGCCACTGGTTTGGGTATGACTAAATTTGATTTGTCCATATTTGTCTGGAAAAATATAGTTTGTTTTTTAAGTCCATTTGTCTGGCATTTGGGCATAAAGTATTCATTACTTTATAATAGATCCTATAAACAAATGCTAAGTTTTGAGAACCAAGGTCCATATCAAAACCTTGAGTTTTTAGGTTTAGAGTTAGGACTTTTAACAGATTTGGATTGGTTAAGGCTACAGAGAAATTTGGAAAACAATTAAAGTATATTGGGCCATTACAGAGACTAGATTCGACTATTCTTAATAAAGAATCAGTGAATCTTTTGTGTCGGCTATCTCTTAAACAGACTAGAATAGAATTATTTAATCCCGTTCTTGTCAATGGTTTGACAGCTATTTGAGCTAATCCAATATGCAAATATTTATAATCTTTCTTTTTATGATCTTCGATCATTTTTTTTGAAAGTAATTGAAATTTGTCTTGAGTTTCCATAACATAAATACTTTTTTCAATTGTTTTTATGGAAAAACTACTTTTGAAATCAAAAGTCCCCTTATTATAAACATCTGTTATAGGTACTTTTGGTATATTCCAATTTTGGATTTGTTTTTCTATATTATCTATTATAACTTCTTTGCTATTACTAACACGAAGTGTATTATTAGTAGTCGTTGATCTGTTAGATAATGATCTGATGAAATTTGTCATTTTAGTTTGAGTCAACTGGAAACAGTCCCTACACTTTCTTGGCTCTTCCTGGCCTTAGTGATTTTTGGGTCACAGCGATTAATCCTGCCGATTTCTCAGACTCTTACCTAATAGCTCAATCTTATACTAATAGTACAGTTAAACCATTGTAGAGTAACTTGGCTCTGATACCATAACTAAGCAGAAACATATGAGAATCATAAAATCAGATATTGAATGCCTCAAAACAATGGCTAGTAAAAAAAGAGATGCAATCAATACACTAATATGTACAATCACTCTCAATTTCGTAGGAAGCACTGTTTTGTTGACAGCAAGATCTGAAGATTTGTTATCAAATCTAAGATGTCCTACACTCTCTCATTATAAATGGTATAAAGATGTATTTTTCTCAAGATTACTATCGAGAGAAGATAGTAAATCAAACCATTGGAAGAAAAGTTTGTAGCTGGATTACCGCACCTTTTTGCAGAAAAGGTAAAAACAAGGCTTAAAAATAACTACTACTAATAATACCATAACTGTTTGAGCTTGGAAGAGCTGAGTTAAACCCTTTTCCTATATATATATATAGGAAAAAACTGGTGTAGGCCCACTAGCCTACATCTATATATAAGATCTGACAGTCACAACTTCATTTCGTATTTTAATTTTTTTTTTTTTTCTACAAATCCAAATCACATGAAATTTTAGGTGTCTATTCTTATCATCAAGGTACATCTAATAAAAATATTTTAAAAAATAATTCACAAAATATAAATTGACCAAAATACCTCTGAAAAAGTTTTGGAGGTATTTTAGTCAATATATTTTTTGCAAATTAATTTTTTGATATTTTTATTAGATTCTCCTATTTTAAAAAAACACACGCTCAAATTGTTAAGTGATTTGGATTTATAAAAAAAAAATTAAATTTCAATTACAAAATGCAATCATGATTATTGGATCGGCCCAGATTCAATTTGGGCCATTGGGATCATATGTAGTCGTAGGCTCGTGGGCCTACGCCAGTTTTTTCCATATATATATATATACATCAAGCACTTTCCATATATAACGAACCTATTAAAATTAGGAAACTAACTCTGATTGAATAACTCCTAAATCTTAATTTAAATATTGAAATCGATTAAATATTATTCAAATGAGAAAGTAACTTACTACTCCCTATTAAAACTAGGGGTTTCCCAACCCTTTGAGGGATAAAATGTGATCCATTGACATCCCTCATGGAAATTATGGAATCCTACCCAATAATGTTTTGCTTTTATAACCATGTGCCAGACTGATGATTTGGTTTTCTAGTCAGTGTCTGATGGTTTATGGGTTGTCTTGTTGGCTCAAACATGGCCAGTTTGGGTTGGGACCATCAGAGAAAATTTAAGTCTATCCTTAGAGTTTAAGAGTTTGAACATGAATTTGTCGTTCTTATGCAACTTCTAAGATTTGCTTTTTTTTCTTTCTTAAACTTAGCTGTAATTTTGGTAAATTCTTGAGCAACTATGGGATAATTGCTGATTGACATCAAGATTTACTGGCATATAGGCTTCTTGTTACACATTCTTTTATTGAATGATATCATTATTGATGCTAGCAGGGGACTGACTAAAGTGGTTGAAGAACTTGAGAAGATTATCGCATTCAACAAGTTACTTGTATCCTTAAGTAACCATCCCGAAGTTGCTCGTTTTGCTCAAGGGATTGGACCTGTTTCCTTATTAGGTAAAGTGTAGCATGTACTATGGAAGTCTGGACTACCTTGTTTGTCATCTTCTAAGTTGTACTTAAAAATGTTCTGTTTCTTTGTCAATGCCTATCCTAGGTGGTGAGTATGATAGTGACAGAAAGATAGATGATTTGAAGCTGCTTTATAGAGCGTTTGTGACTGAATCATATTCCAGTGGGCGCATGGAGGATAAAAAGGTGTGTGGATATTAGGCCTTTCATACAATTATATTCTCTAGTTTCTATGCTTCTAATTTATGTTGGTTGTCTGATTAAGTTTGTCTATGTACTTCCATTGTCTAACAAAGTTGAATGGTGATCTCGAATCTTATGTACTTATTTTGAGTTTGAGTTTTTTGAGCTAATTGCTTAATTTGTTTGATGTCGTATAAGAGACCCAACTTCTTGATTAGTATTATTATACTAGTTGTTATTACAGAAATTTCGACAAAATAATGATTTCTGGCATATGTGATATGTTAAATACCTCGAGTATCTTAAAATAACTGCGTCCTTGTTCAGGAATAAATTTTCTTTTGAATACATATACTCAGGAATAAATTTTCTTTGGAATACATAAACCATTCAACTGAAGGATGAAAATGTTATTTTCTACGGTTAGTATGGTGAGATCAAAACTGGAGAAAAGATGATATCTTTTTTCGAATGATCATAACAGCCTTTCAATAAAATAGGGAGCACTTTTGCTTGTGGTTACCAACAAATAACTTATGCGCAAAAATGAAAAATATATGGTGATATTTTTATAAATTTCCTTCAATGATTGTGGGACTTGCACTATTTGGCTTATAGGGAAAATAGTTGTTGATGCGGAAAGAGATGATCATGGTTAACTCTTTGCATTTTAGTGGCATCCACATTTTCTTTATTAATCTTCCGCTGGCTTCTAACGAGAGACTATAAAATTATTTTTACTAAATCAAAGGATATCGCAATTTAAAAATTTGCTTGCTAGCATGTAGTATATGAATTTTAGGCTTATTGTTTGACTGTCTTCCAAAGATGTACTTTGCATGGTCTAGCACAATGTCACTTCTGCTTTTTGGCAATGTACCTGGATTTGATGCTGAGAATGATGGGTTTAAACTCGCTCGGGTTGATGGGACATGCCTACTTAGCTGGGGAAAGTGCTCATACACTTGGGGTTGTAAAAATCTTTCAAACAAAATGGAGTTTTCTCTTTTAAAAGTTTCGATTTTTTGTTGTATTTGATTGTCCATTCATAGGAAGTGCGTTGCTCATACTTATGGCTTCCTGTTGTGGAGCTTTTTGATTAGAAAAGAATTTATTACATGTATTTTATATTTATTGTTGCATTATGTAATATAGTGTAGATTAAGGTTCTTGAACTTGATTGATTAATTTGGAGGTTTTTATTTTGTGGGACTTCAGGATTACAATATTCTCTTGGGTTATTTATTTCTTCGCACTAGGATTGATTTGGATTTTGGATGCAGTCATTTATGGATATGTTTTGCAAACTACTACGTTCACATTTTTACCTTGTTGCCAAATTTCCGCTCTGTCTACATATAAGCGCGCGTGTGTGTATGCCTGTGTGCATGTGTACTTTTACACATTCGTTCATTCAAGCTGAGCTGGATGGATTAGTATGTAGGCTGAGCTGAGTCTGAGTCCCAAGTTTTTGATCAATGGTTGTAATGAATATAAAAGAAGCCTTAAATGGCAGAATTTCATCAGAAAGCTATCCATAAATTTTATGCCACAAGGTGGCAAAAGCAGATGTGCAAAAATATTTAGAGAGTCCAGGTGACAACTTGCCTATACCATTAATTCCTGCTGCCATCAGAAAGAAACTGGGCTTCTACTATTGGACCTAATGTTGCATAATGGGCCCCATGGTTTTAGAGATCAGTTAGTAATAAGTATAAACTGTGGACATTCTTTAATACATGAAAATTATTAAGATATAATTCATGATGAATTTGTACCAGAGAGCTACTAAAACAATTTGTCACATTACTTATAATGTTTGCATTTGCTATTTCCTTTTTGTAGCTTGAGGATTTGAACCAGCTGAAGATCATATTTGGTTTAGGGAAACGTGAAGCTGAAACCATGCTGCTGGAAGTTGCATCAAAAGTCTACCGCAAACGACTTGCTCAAGCTGTTTCCAGTGGTGACTTGGATATTGCAACTAGCAAAGCTGCCTATCTTCAAAATCTATGTGAAGAATTGCATTTTGATCCACAAAAGGCTAGTGAAATCCATGAAGGTATGTGGCAATGGTTTCATTTCTAATGATAAGCGAATTGCTCATTTTTCCCTCGTAACCAATATTTGCGAAATCAGCTTGGGCTTGGGCTCGGGCTCGGGCTCATAACTCAGGTCCTGGACTGGCCAAGTTACTCAGAAGAGTCCAAGTTGAAAAGTCCATGTAGAGTTTGAAAGAAGCCTCAAACGAAATGAAAAAAAGGGAAAAACCCTAAAGATAATTTATATTTTTTTAATAAAGAATAAAAGTTAAAAAACATAAAATATTTGTAAAAGATGGAAATGGTTACTAATTTGACAAATTGAAAATGAAAAATATGGAAATTACCCAAAATTTTGACCAAAACTCCCAGTACTGTGATATTTGCCCAATGCAAATCAATGCCTCCTTGTCAAAGCTTCTTCAAACAAATCCCAATCGAAACCCCCTAACGGGCTTTTGATTTGAAGTTCTAATCCTGGAGATCCAAGCTCTTAAAATTTTTCTGCTGAATAGTGAATCCAAAAGTTGAACATCAGAAATGTATTTTTATTTTTATGTTTTGTGTTGTGGGGAAGAAAGAAAGAAGGGGGGGATGGGATAGGGATAAAAATATGCTTAGGGATCAAATTTCATCGAAAATCGACCAACCATTGGAAGAAATTGCGGCTTTTTAAAATGGGGCGAAAGCTAGCTGAAATTTCAATCTTTCAAATCTGTCAAATTTCATGTTTTTTTCTCAAATCTGAACTATCTAGTGAATATATCTTGGAAAAAAAACACTTGCAGGCCAAAATTGGGCTCAGATGATTTTTTGGCCCAAGATCAAAGAAAAAAGGGGCCCCCAAGTTCGGGGTGTTCCAGGTTTGGTAGGATGCTGAGCCCGAGTAACTCAGGTGAATCTAAGAGGACTTGCCGGAGTTTTCAGCCATTGCTTGTAACAAATATCATTTCAGTCAATGATTCTTATTGAAATGCCTCACTTCTTGATTTCTAGTCTCATATTTGATGCATATTCTCACTAGTAGTGGACTGCAAGTTTTGAATAGCATAAGGGCACAATATATGAGCATGAGGTTTCAAGCACAAGAATATCTATAAAACAGATGTCTAATGGAAAGAATGACGACTCTAGGAAAAAAAATGGGGAAAATAAGAAATTACTGAAATACTCAAGGAACTTATAAGATACTCAGTATCAAGTGAGACTATATTTCAAACTAAAGCTCTATGAATGATCAAGCACTATATTTTTGCAGGTTTGCCTCTAAGAAACTCTCACTCCTGACAGTTATCTTCTTCGGTTGGTCTAATCTTGGGTTTAGTATAGCAACTTTGAGTAGCCAATACTGTTAGAGTCTTGTCTGAATGTAAAAATATTGAATCAGTTGTTAAAAAGAACATTCCATGACTTTGAGGTGGTGTACGTTGAACGAGAGTCTGAGAGTTTTATAATGCTAAGACCGGATCCAGTTTTACTGCAGCTAATTTCTTCACTCTTATTGAACTAAAATGTGCAGAAGTTCTCTCTCTCTCTCAATTTCATGTGATGCACCTTCCATCATGATTTTGGTCTTTGAAATTGCTTTGAACCTCTTGGGTAAACCTTTTAGTGTTGTTGAAGTTACAGATCATAGTTGTGTAATGTACGAGGGGGTTTATTGCTACTATCATATAGTAAGAGGTCTTCATCTGCTTTTGTATATAGGACATGGGAGATTGTAAGATATTTGTTGTCTTTTAGATTACCAAAAAGCTTTCCGGAATCTGAGGCGTTCTCAAGTTGGCAAATATAATAAAGGGAGAGTATAATAATCCTATAAACTCGGGAAAAATGATTCAGGTTTACCATTTTCCATTGAAATGATGGAAGTGATGGAGAGATGGGTTCAACCATACAAGTCTTATCTTGTTTTGTTACATCCTACTCCCTCTCCAACACTTCGATCATTTGAATAGCTGCTGAGGATTGTATGTAATAACACTGTTGACCTTGGTTACAAAAAGGAAACAATCACCCCAGCCATTGTTAAAATTGTTAAAGTGTATTTTCTAGAAATTATATTAGTTTTTATTTTATTTTATTACGAGTGATGTAGTGAGGTTGTACTTGTAAGTTTGTGTAATAATAAGCTATGAAACTACTTGTATGTGGGTAGTTATTGTAGTAAATGTGGTTGTAAGAACCTCTATTTAAAGAGAGGTGTGTGGTGGGAAAATTGGGTCACATGTTTTAAGGTTAATCTTGGGTATCAAGATTGTAATGCCTTTGTGTACCCCTGAATCATATGTATTAAGGTTAATCTTGGGTGTCAAGATTGTAATGCTTTTGTACCCCTGGGTCCCATGTATTAAGGTTAATTTTGGGTGTCAAGATTGTAATGCCTTTGTGTACCCCATGTTTTTCTTTAATGAATGTTTCTCTTCCACCTCATTTTGGTGCTTCTTCTTTCTATTTGGTTGAGTCTTGGGCTAGTGTGACATCGTTACACTAATTGAGAAGCAGATTGTTCCGGTACTGTGGAATCTGTGTTTCTCTACTTGATATCAGAGCCACAAGGGTGGTGGTGGTATTATCTTGACTCCCTCGGTGAAGAAGATCAATTATCTTTTTTGAAGATGGATTCGGGTGGAAGGTCCAATGGTTTTAATGTTCAGTTGGGAACTCAACTCAAGGCCGTCTTTCTATTTCCCAGATCTTAAAATCTTTTTAAGATCTAGAATCTTTGTTTGGAGATCTCCCATTGATGCGGAAGAACCTATTTGGAGGCACGAATGAAGTGACTTTATCATTTGTGGCTTAAAGATGGAGTATATTTCCTATGTTAGTTCTATTCAAGGGTGGGCTATACAATCATCCTTGGTGGAATTTGATAATCTCTTTGATGACTTGTCAAATAGTCAGATTTTTTATTTCTAGAAGTGATGGAGATGAGCACATCACACTTACACTTAAGAGCCAGTCATGGGCTTCTCTCTAGAAAATCACTTGTAAAGGGGAGTGCTAAAATTGCTAAAGTGTATTTTCTAGAAACTATATTAGTCTTTATTTTATTTTATTTTATTATGAGTGATGTAGTGAGGTTGTACTTGTAAGTTTATGTAATAAGAAGTTATGAAACTACTAAGTAGTTAGTAGTTATTGTTGTAAGTGGGTAGTTATTGTAGTAAATGTGATTGTAAAAACCTCTATTTAAAGAGAGGTATGTGGTGGGAAAATTGGGTCACATTTGAGCATGGTTAATGGCACAGCCTTTGCCGCCGTATTTTACTTTTTATGGCTACGAGTGATTGCAGCCATTTTGTACCAAAGATTAACTGTCTGACTAACTTTCCCTACTCTACCTTTCCTATAATAAATAGACAGGGTTTTCTTTTTTTCCTTTTTTCAAGAAAATAGTGGACAGGTCTTATCAGTGCGGTAACAAATTTTGCTCGCAGCAGTCTTCTCAGTAGAACAATGATTTGGCACACCAAATCACCTATTTTCTGTTTTGAGATTTGTGTGCAATTGTTTATTGCTATGAACGTGTTGACAATTATGCTTGTGGAAGACTGGTTGCTTGTGGATTGTTGTTTTGAAATATATTGTTTCTGTCTCAGATATATACAAGCAAAAGCTTCAGCAAGCTGTTGCAGATGGTGACTTGAGTGACGATGATGTTGCTTCTTTACTGCGACTGAGGGTCATGCTCTGCATCCCACAACAAACAGTGGATGCAGCACATGCTGATATTTGTGGCCGATTGTTTGAGAAGGTGAAATTTTTTTACTGGAATCAATTGTTTTTTTATGTCACGGAATCTATATTATATGTCGTGTGTGCACATGTGTAGTATATAATATGTGTGTGGACGTGTAGGGGGATGTTAATGGCACCCAATAAACACTATATGGGTGCCCAAAACGTCACATCACATTCACAATGATTATTTATATCCAAGTGTTTTATGAAGCTGATGCCTTTTTGGGTTCTAATATGGTAGTTCTTTTCGAACTTTTTTTTGTAATCACTTTGTTGTCGATTGATGCTAATTAAATGCATTGTGATATGCAGGCTGTAAGAGATGCAATTGCAGCAGGAGTAGAAGGCTATGATGCTGATGTCAGACGTACTGTACGAAAGGCATCTCAAGGCTTGCGTCTTACCACAGACACTGCCATGGCCATTGCTAGCAAAGCTGTATGTGCTCCCTCTTTATAGAAATGCCTCCCTTGATCCTGAATAAAATTAGTAGGAAGCCCTCTTTTTAGCTAGCCTGACATGGTCAAGAACTCGGTCTTTTCTGTCCTAGTCATAAAGTCTAGATAGTTTTTGTTAGTTTGGAAGCTGTAGAGAGAGAGAGAGAGAGAGAGAGAGAGAGAGAGAGATGCTCTTTATCTTGCTGGGCAAAAGCTTACCCACCTGTGATTCTACTCTCTAGGTGCGCGCAATGTTTACGAACTATATAAAGCGATCAAGGGCAGCTGGCAACCGTACTGAGGCTGCTAAGGAACTTAAAAAAATGATAGCATTCAACACCTTGGTTGTTACCCAGCTAGTATCAGACATCAAAGGAGAGTCTCCTGCCCCACCTGATCCAGTCAAAACTGAACCTGAACCCGAACCCAAACCCATCGAAGATGAAGAAGATGAGTGGGAATCACTGCAAACCCTAAGAAAGACAAGACCCAACAAGGAGGTTGAAGAAAAACTTGCTAAACCTGGCCAAACTGAAATAACACTTAAAGATGACCTCTCTGACAGAGATAAGGAAGACCTCTATCGTACCTATCTCCTATACTGCATTTCTGGGGAGGTCACAGTAATACCATTTGGAGCACGGATAACCACTAAAAAGGACAATTCAGAGTATCAATTACTAAACCAACTCGGTGGAATTCTCGGAATGACTTCTAAAGAGATTGTAGAGGTTCACAGGAACTTAGCTGAGCAGGCATTTAAACAGCAAGCCCAAGTGATTTTAGCAGATGGGCAGATCACAAAAGCTAGACTTGAGCAATTGAATGAGGTGCAAAAGCAAGTAGGCCTTCCATCTGAATCGGCACAAAAGGTCATCAAGAGCATTACCACAACTAAGATGGCCGCTGCTATTGAGTCAGCAGTGAGCCAGGGGAGGATAACTATACAGCAGGTTCGTGAGCTTAGAGAAGCAAATGTGGAAATTGATAACATTATATCAGAGGGGTTGAGAGAAAATCTCTTTAAAAAGACAGTTGATGAGATGTTCTCATCAGGGACAGGGGAGTTTGATGAGGAAGAGGTTTACACGAAGATCCCATCCGACCTTAACATAGACAAGGATAAAGCTAAAGGGGTTGTTTTTGATCTTGCCAAGAACCGTCTCTCCAACTCGCTTGTCCAAGCTGTGTCACTATTGCGGCAGAGGAATCGAACTGGAGCTGTAAGATTGCCCTTGACTTGTTATTTCTCCTTTTATGGGATAGTCTGCTCTAATCCAGTTGACTGTCTAATGAAATGTTGGTTGGTGATGGAGAGAGTGGGACCCACCAGAATAGAATGTTACCCCAATCGTGGGTTCTACTCTCTCTTAAATGGTGGATTATAGCAAACTGACTCCTGTATGACTGACGAAGAATACTATGAAGTTGCCTTTGGGTCATGAAAGTATAGTACTACCTAAAATCATAGTCTACTGCATCTATTACCATATAATGAAACGATTGACTGCGACGGGGAGAGAGTGGGATCCACCATGATAGAAACCCCTGTTGTGGGATCCACCATGATAGAAACCCCTGTTGTGGGTTCCACTCTCCCCCCATTGTTGGATATTAGTATCAAAAAGTAGTCTATGAGTTGGGGGACGCAACTCTACATTTGTGTCCCCTGAGGTATCAAACATCCGTCTTTAAGATGGATGCAAAGTTGTGATCCTTCCTAAAAGAATAAAGTCTTAACGGTTCAAATTTTTTCTCCAGAAACTTATCCTTTTAGCTTTTACTTTTTTTTATTTTATGTATTAGTGATCTCCATGTTACAAACTCTATATATTTTAAAAGGACAGTTTATATAGAGCCAAGGCTCTAAACAATCAAATTAGAGCCCACCACAAAAATTTCACTAGAAGAGGTTGTTTTGATGCTCAAATATCTTCAAATTGATCGTCTCAACATCAAGATGCATGGATATGAAAAAAAAATGGATTTCAAGTTTTGGAAATAGTGCATCTTGTTATGCTTTTTTAGACCATTAATTTTCAAGATTTTCAAGTTTTCATAGATCTGCACGATCTACACTTATTTTTGAAGCTTTAAATTTTATAATTAGATATGAAAATATATTTTAAAGCTACCACAAAGATTTTCAATGTTGAAATTGCATTTCTTGACACTATTTGAAGGTGGGCTTTACTTTGATTGTTTAGAGCCTCGGCTCCATACAAACTGCACCTTTTAAAAAATTAGGTTTAAATTCTTTCTAGATAATAGATCAAAAAGAGGGGGCCACAAATTTACATGTGGGTCCTAGGACTCATAGAAACCTTGTCCTATTGGTGTATGCTCCCTACGTACTTGGTATTTGGTGAGCTTGGACATGCTAATTTGGCTAATTTGGGTCATTAGCACTGTTGGGAAATTATGCTACCATAATTGCGTGATAGAGTATCATAATGTGTCACTACATCACCATCTATTGAAAGGACTGTGATGGAGAGAATGGGAATATGATCTATTGAAATGGACTGTGATGGAGAGAATGGGAATATGATTTGGTGCATGTCCTGTTCTCCTGTGTCCTTTCATGATTTCATTGGGCAGTGATCGCCCGAATGGACATAGGATCATTGTTCTTAAATTAGTCTCTCTTCCTGCCATTTGCTGAATGCTTCTTTCTTCAAATAGAAAGAGTTTCTCTCCTCCTTGAGTAACCTTTCTGGTATGTTTTCTTTCCATTTGATTTCAGGTGTCTTCTCTTAATGACATGTTGGCCTGTGACAAGGCTGTGTCTGCTGAGCAACCATTGTCATGGCCTGTGCCAGAAGAGCTTGCCGATCTTTACTTTGTGTACTTCAAGAGCGACCCACCACATGAGAAACTCTCTCGCATGCAATTTCTTCTTGGTATCAGTGACTCGACTGCTTCTGCACTTAGAGAGAGAGGAGATTATGATGACGATCTTGGAAATGAAGTGGACGAGTTCAACTTTTAGAATATGCACATTGCCCTCTTCATGGGTGGTTTTTGTTGGATTCTGTTGAGGGGATTTGCTTGCTTTATGTAACTGTCTGAACGGCGAGCAGTACCTGCAGTTTTTGGACTTAAACGGAGTTGGGGATTTGATTCCAGCTTATTGAGGTGTATGTGTAGTTTAAGCCCTGAGAGTAGGTGACTTAAGTTCTCGGCAGAAAGTAATAATGTGTTTCAAGGTTAAGAGCCTGTATGGTATGTGCTTTTTGTTTACATTGTGAAAATTAAATTAAATATATTTGCATATTAAATTTCTATATTAGTGGATGTATGTGTCATTGGGATTTTCTGATAGGTTTATGTGCTTTTAAGCAATATGCATTTCAGTATTTCTGGAATTAGATTCCGCAAAGGACTCTGAGCGATTCTTAACCAAACTTTTTAGGAGGGCTCACCCACCAAAAACTGCTCCATGTCCCAGAGCCAATTCTCCAGCATCTTGGCACATCGGATTTCAGTAGTTGCTGGTTCATGCAGCTTAATCCTGCCCGGTTGTTTACATCAGGAGAGGTTGTTGATGTAGTTGCTTGTAGTTTTCTTCAAGCTTGGAAATCGATGAAAAGGAAATAAAGAAACAAGCCCTTGCTAGAGTCGAGTTACTTGGACTAGTCCTAATGGGTACACCCCGAGTAAAGACCATTACAAAAATGTAAAAAGGAAAAGTTCAAAAAAAAAAAAAAAAGAGGGAGGGGGAGGGGTTTTAGGTCATATGTCCGAGGCTTGGGCACTTGGCCAAAGGCTTTTGCCACGTCTCTTCCTCTCTTTCCGTCACCTATCTCTCGCAGCTCGCTCGCTCACTCTCTTCCCCTCTGTATCTCTTAGATTTTTCCATCTCTATGATCTCTCATATTTCTCTCTCATCTCTCTATCTCGATTTCCACCTCTCTGTCAGCTCTCTGATCTCTCTCTGTCTCTCATATATCTCTCACTGTATCTCATAGATCGCTTTCTCCCTAATAGAAAGATGACAAAAGGGGGCAGACTTCTTAACCCTTTTAAAAGAGAGAAAAAAAAAAAAAGAAGACTGGGTAGAGAGGAATAAATTGGGGGGGGGGGGGGAGGGGTAAGACGAGACTGTGAGAGATGAAATAAAGGGGGTGATGCTCTCCTTTTATTTTGTCTATAAGTTGTACTGAGGTGCTCGATACGATTCACCTTAGCACAAGGCCGAGTCTCAAAACACTGATATATTTGCATATACTCGGATTAAATCCATGAAAGCGCACCTCTCAAAAGACCATGGAAATTTACACTGTTGGTTTGCTGCTGTCTTGGGGATTATTAAGGATGTGTTGCCAGTTTTGATGAATTTTATGATCTTTCTCACTGGTTTAAGATATTTTGCAAATGCTACCCTGGTTTCATGAGCAACTTAATGATAGCTAGGAAATATTTCTTGGAAGAGATGGAGGCTGGGGGCTTATGGTGTGATTGCGATGTGTTTTTTCATGGAGGGACGTTAGTGTGCATTTTTTAATGAAATTTTTTATTTAAAGCAAGGAATGGAGCTGGGGGTCATGGTGGTAGAATCCCCACCCGGTTGCTACATCGTGTTATCCATTTCTACAGCTGACACTCCCAATTAACACTTTCAAAATAGACTCTCTAATCTATTGAGAAAAATGAGTAGGGGACCGTCTTCTCCACTGAATTACCCAAAAAAAAAGAAAAGAAAGAGAACTTTTTAATTAGACCACTATTGTTCCATGACGAGGGGCGTTTCAAATTTCTAAATCTTAAAAAACAGACGGTCTAGATAATGTATTGCAAGTGTACTATTTTTTAGACTCAAATTTTTTTTTTTTCATATCTATACATCTTGATGTCGAGATGATCAATTAGAGGGTTTTTTAACCTTAAAACAACCTTTTTCGATAGATTTTTTTATGTGCATATTTAATTCTACATTTTAAGATTCATTTTAAGGTTGCAACCTTATATAAATTTTTTCTTAAAAGAAACCAAAACAATTATTTCCATTACATAACTCTATAGAGAAGCCGCATGGTTCCTTTTAGAGGCTCCCATTACACGTACTCTTAAGGTAGGTCTAGCCCAACTTCCCGAGTTCTTGTGGTCCGCGCGACAAGCAGCAAACAGTGGGTGTTGAGCAGGAGGATCAGACTTGAGTCGATCCCTTGTGGCCACGAGAACGAGGCCCAGCGTTGTTCCTCAACCTCGAGCAAAGTCTTGCAACAATCGATCCCTGGAGGATTCGTGCCTGTTGTAAAGAAGCCAGAAACCTGTTCCCAACAACTCCCGGCGACATGTAGATCCCACAGGAATCCTCCCGTCGTACTCTTTCCCGATTTCTGTGTCCCACTCTGCACTTGTGCAAGCACGGGCTCTGTGATGGCTGAAATGGCCACAATGATCAATGAGACTGCATGGATCAGCTTAGAACTCATTCTCAAATCTTCATTACCTCTCTTAATTCTGTTTTAGGATTTGTTGAAGAGTTTTGTTTATGGTATACAAGGTCGTGTTTCGCCAGGTGGGTGAAGATAAGGTTTAATTTTGATTGCTATAGTGGTTGAACAATGAAAATAAGTAGCTAGTGTTTAAGTTTCTAGATTTTTGCATGGATGATTTATTTTGAGTGTAACCTACTAACCCCTTCCCACAACCGAGTTGGTTTTGGGGCTGTGGCGATTGTTTGGTGGAATCTGGCTATTTAAATTAAGTGTAGTGCTCAGTTGGGAAGGGGTTTGGATCCACTAAATAAATTCAAGAAGGAAATTTTGCCACTTATTTGACCTAACTTTATCCTAAAATATGGCGATTGCACTGGTAACCCTACTACCACAGTTATTTAAGACCTGACTGAATGACCGTCTGAACGGTCATAATGTTGATTGGTGCTTTAGTCGGTCTAGTCTAAAATAAAAATCATGTTTGGTCCCAAACTATTCAAAACTAGTGTGTGACCAATCTAACCGACTAGTTTTGAATAGCTCAAGCAGCCAAACAAAGTGGGCGCCTTTTTCTTAAGAAAAATTATATATGGACCGGTTTTTGGGCCTGTTATGATGGTTTGGTTTATATTCTCCCAAACATTATGCCAAGCTCTACCCGCTAGCCCGCCCCTCTTTATGCCCCTCTTTATTTTCAGTTTTGTCCGTTGGTCTGATATTTCCAACATTGCAGTGTCCTAAACTCAGCCCCAAAGTGTGTTCGACGACGTCAAAGCTATTAGATTACTTTAATTATTGGATTTCATTTTACTATCCTTGTGCGCATTAGAAAAAGAGAGGGAAAGAAGGGAGTGAGAACACCATCATCTCTTTTTCTTTTTTTATTTCCTTAACGGTTAGTTAGAGAAAAGCCCATGATATTGTCAATATTCTGCTGAGTGTTAACGTTGGGTTCTTTAAAGGCCTTATAAGAGTTTGTATGAGTATTTTATATTGTGAAACATAAACTCAGTGGGAGTATAGTCATCTTGTGGATCATACTAGAACAATACAATTTGTCGATACTCAGATTAGGCTTGACGTGGTAGGTCAGTCAAGTTGGAAAAACCCAAGGTACCAAGACAGGGAGATAAACCAAAAAAGGTTTAGTGGGTTAGCCTTTGAAGATGTCGGAGTATGTCTGGATGAGTGCAGAGGGACTGTGTGACTGTTGTGTGCAATGAATAGCCTTTAGAGACATGGCTAAAACTCTATCATTGTATTATCACACGGTACGTACATAGATAGCCATATCAAGATAGTAATCCACAATTGAGGGTGAAGCATGTATATGTGCGAGAGATTACCTCTATCCACCATTAAATCATAGTTGCATCATGGCTTGAGGGACCAAGGTTTTTTGTCTATAGGAGAGAACCTGAAATCTACATATTGAGATTGCGTTCCCTAGCCTATCGGCTAACTTTAGTGGACTGTGGGTCATGAGAACTGCTGGGTCAGTTTGAAAAAAGTAGGTGGATCGTGATCCGTAGTTGAAGGTAGAGTGCTCGAGTGCATTGATAAATTCTTAAACCTAGACGGATTCAATTCCCATAAAAAATTAATTAATTTTATGTTATATGTTTTTTAGAATGTTTATTTAAATTTTTGTGATTCTCTTGATATTTTATTTTTATCATTTTGATTTATAAATAAGATAAAATCATTTTTCAATGTTTTAAATAAAAGCTCATTTCTAAAAATTATTTTAATTCATAAATATTTGAGAGGGTCCATGGGGGCCAACCAAGCAACCCATGGGGGCCAACCAAGCAACCATTGTGACGTGTGTGGGGCCCACATAGGGGCCCCATGGGTGGCACACCCCATTTAGGGGGGTACTTTCTAATTTTCTAACCTTGTGAATCAAAGCAATCAATTAAATTGAAAATTTATGGCAAGTGTTTTGTAGAGATTTTGATTGAAACAAGAATGTAATGTTTTGTGCTTTAAGGAATTTTAATTATTCAAAGATTATGTAAATAAAGAATGAATATCTATAAAAAAGAAAGTATGAATAATATTTTTTATTTAAATATTCGATGGGAATGACTTTAGGAAATGAATGATAAGGTTCTAACACCTTCATTGAATTTTGATGGTGGATCTAAGGAATGGATGACTCAAATCTCTAATTCCAAAAATCTCTTTAGATTGACCGTCAAGATTTAGCCCTACGAATTGAAGCAAACCCTAAAGCATAAAAAATCTATAAAAATGGACTTTTCCCCTTTACCTATTCTCCATACCTCTTCTCTCTTCTATCTCTAAGAGTTATTTCTCTCTATTTAAGATCCCTAAAGGGGCCACACCCCAACCTAGCATATATCTCTCTCCCAAGTTAGCCTATGGGGCAACGTCCCAACCTAGCTTCTCAATCTCTATAATCGGGTGGCACGCCTAGGCTAGGATCTCTCTCAGCTCTCTTGTGGGTTTTTAGAAAAGGGAGCATGCCCAAGCTAGGTTTGGTTCCATATTTTTGTGGGTAGCAATGGGGAACATCCCCTAGCTATTAGATGTCTCTCTCCCTTCTTAAATTTTATATCTCATCTCTCTAAAGATTAAGCCCCCTTAGGTAGTTGGTTATGAATTGAGATCTATATGTCTTTTAGAGGGTTTTGTCATAAGTAAGAGAAGCACGAGACCAAGCATAGATCCCGAGCACCATCGGAAAGAGAAGACTCCACGTGGGGTGTATTAAGCCTAGTTAAGGTAATCTTCGGTAATTGTACTTCTTTAAATTTTATTTTTTTGTTGAGCTCTTCTATTCCCCATAAAACAATGAGTTAAGGTTTTGATTTAAAGAGTTGTATTCAAAAGTGATAGTAAAGTGAGAACCGTAGTTTTTTTTTTGTTTTATTTATTCAAGTCATTCATTTGTAATTGGACATTGTGAGTGATCTTGCTGGTGTAGAAATAAAAAAAATTTTAATTTATGTACACCGTGCTTGATCACATAGTACAAACTTCAGTGAAGAGAGTACGCTTCTGATCCTAGGTTTTCTTGGATCCCTAAATCATGATGAGGAGCAAGACGTGGGCAGTACACCTACAACTATCCAGGTATATGTACGTAATCTGCCTCTTGGCGCTGATCTTTCCCCATTGTTTTTGCATATTTTATTTTTCTTAAGGTCTTGGCGCTGATCTGTCCCCATTGTTTTTGCATATTTTATTTTTCTTAAGGTATTTGTATATGTAAGGTCCAATACCCAAATCAAGGGTGTCCGACCCTGTATAGAAGGTTAATGTAAACTATAACATAAATTGGAAGTTTAAGGAATTCCTCATGAACCCCAATTCCCTTTTATTTCCAATATATAAAATTTAATAGAAACTTTGGCCATGCGTTAATTATCTAGCACATTTATAAGCAACCAATGGTCTCTTCATTCACCGAACACATGACCTAGAACTCTCTTACTTCTCTAATGCAAACTAGGCTAGTTGTAGGGCTGAGAATGGGTCAGATCGGGCCTAGATCCACCGAGATCCGGATTTAGATCTGAAAAGTATACATGGGATTTGATTCCAGATATAGACCCAATGAGATCTAGAATATTCATATCTATATTCAGACCCAATTAGATCCAAAAAATTATTTTATAGATTATTGTACATCTATAAAATAATGTAGAACAAAAAAAATACTATATAATGTATATGTATATACATAAAATAATATACAATATTTTAATAACTAGGTTGGATCTAAATCCGATCCACTTGTACCCCAATCCGATCTGAAGTACTATTTGGATCCAAATTTGGATCCGGATCCTACTCATTGGATGCAAATCTTAAATCCATACCCGGATCCAAATAGGGTCTAAAATTCATGTTTCGGATCCAAACTAGGTAAATTCTCAACCCTAGTTGGTTGCCCTAATCATTTGAAATCTACTAGAGGATATACTATCTTTATGGGGCTTAATCTTCTATCTTGGAACTGTAGGAAATAACAAACAGTGGCCCGCTCAAGCACCGAGTCAGAATATTGTGCAATCACCAGTTCTGCTGCAGATTTAACTTTGTTCCAGTCGCTTCTAGGTGAACTTGGCATAATATGAGCATAGCCAATTCAATTTTTTATGAGCTATGTACAAAGCCACATGACAACACAGTCAATATTCATCCAAATTCTTGTTGTAACAAAATCAGCTATAATATATATATATATATATATATGAAAAAAGTTTATATAGAGTCGAGGTTTTAAACAATCAAATTAGAACCCACATTAAAAATTTTACTAAAAAAGGTTTAGTTTTAGTATGTCTACAAGTAT